ACACACACACACACACACACACACACACACAAAAAACACAGTAGAATGAACAATGCAAGGACAGTGAAGCTATTTTAAGCATCAAACAAAAGAAATGAAGAGATAAAACAGACTCATGGATAAAATAACAAAAGAATCAAATTATATAAACAACGCCAAATAAATCAAAACATGATGACGAGGAGATGACACTAATGTAACTGTTGCTGGTTAAGAGAAAAGAAAGGGAGATGGAAACTCACGGCGTTGAGGTAGGGTCCAGAGCCTGATGACTGAAGGGGATTTACACCAGGCCGGGAAAGCAGGGAGAGATGAGGGGAGGAAGATGAGGGAAGACACGCTCCAGGACTACTTCGTCGCCTGAAAAAGAGTACGAGAGAAATGAACAGAAACTCGGTGTGGCCACGAGAGCATTCAGAGCTCAAAATCCCCACATTGTTCCATTTGGTTCAAGGGGTTACACCAAGCTGGCTTAATTCAAAACCTATTACTTTTATTATTGCTATGTTTTAGCCTCCCGTCTACACTAAATCCAAAAACTGAGGTTTTCTAAAATGTTTTTCGGAGCGCATAAATCTGAAAATGTCCGCCTCATGTTTTAGTGTGGCCATGAAAATAACAGACGCACTAATTCCAAGCATGGAAACAGGAAATGTCACTCAAAAGTTACCCGGAGCCAGTGGGTTTGATATCATGAATGGTATGTTAAAATGCCTGACTTACTTTTTCGCTCCGTCTCGTTCCCTCTCCCTCTCCCTGGGGCCTTCTCCTTCACTGTTGTCTGAGGAAACTGTTGCTTCTGAATCTGCAGCAGAACACAAGGAAACCTAAACCAACTCTGAAGATAGAAATGACAGTTTGTCACAGTAATAACAACCCAATAGTTGAAGTCTTTAGGATGAGGTGTAATAACTACCTGAGGAGTCTTCATCTACCCTCTCATACTGCAGCAGTCTGTCCAGAAGGAAGCTAGAAAACAAGTGAATGACTTAGTTGTTTACTGAACGCACATATTGTTCAACATCCACACGTGTTCATGTGACCTCACCTTTTATCCCTGGAGACTTTGAGAAGTTTTCTCTGTGCTCTCCTCAGCTCCTCCTGAAAGCATTCCTGCTCCTAGGAAAATAAAACCAAACACCACATCAGTGCAGATGACGAGGCGCGTGCGTGTGTTAGTAAAGTACTGAGCGACGATGCTCGAGACTCAGAATGGTTGTACTCACATAAACAAGAAATTTCAATTTTCGTTTGAGATTTTTGTATTTCCGCTTGAAGTCAACTTCAACGTCCGCTTGACCGTTCATTTCTGGAATAAAACACGAGTGATGAAACACTGGAATCTACCGTCTGCTGCAGTTGTTACAGTTGAAGTTAACTATATCCTGAAAGTCAGTTCAGCAACAGCGACATAATATATACGAAGGTAACTGTATGCTAAGCTACACGTTAGCTTTCGTAGCTAGCTCACTAAAGACAGAGCTGCTGGTCTCACAGGCCTCCAAACATATACAACTGGATTTATTTAAAATATGCATGTCATATAAATACATGCTTTGGGTGTTTTACAAGTTTATTTTATCCTTGAACCCCGAGTGGTACCTCTTGTTTGAGTCTGTCTGTTCGACATGCTCTTCTTTACTTCCGTCGTTGTTTTCTTCTTCTTCTTGAGTTTTAATGGCAGTCAGTGTATTAGGCGCATTACCGCCACCTTCTGTTCCTCATGTGGACCACTGATTAAATCACATATACTCACTAATCCCGTTTGGATGATTTGTTTGATCAAATACAATACATTCCACTGTTTGCTCCGCTTGATAGGTTCATTCATGTTTCGTTTTTTTAAATATTAAGATCCCAAATTCCAGCCTTCCTGAAATCTTCTTGAACACGTTGCCTTTCTTGTTCGTACTTATTAAAATACACAAGAATAAACCGAAAAAGGAATAAAGACGAAACGAGACAGACAAAACAAAGCACAACAATAAAAACACAAACAGCAAGTGTGTGTCGGTGGTGTTTATTAAGGCAGAGCCTCTAGAACAACTACAGTAATAACCTCCAAGTATGCTGCATATCTTTTGCCAACAGCCAAACCTAACCAAACCTAACCTTGCTCTTTGTCCTCTGCCTCGTTCCCAGCACTCCTGAAATACCACTTCAGTGAGGTGTTGTTCTTCGTGTCCTATTCGGTGAGCTCAGTAGTTGATCTGCTTCCATCTAGTGGTATCTCTCCCTCCTGGACTTGCAGGTCTGGCGTGGGAGGTGACTTTACTGCTCCACAAAACTGTCTCAGACACTTAAACGCCTACACAATAGTAATGACGCAGGATCTGTTTTCATTTTTTTGAATGTATAAACACAGATAATAGCAAACATTCCAATGCCTTTTTGGAACCTTTTTCTTTTTGCATCTTTAAGAGTGACAATCACATTTGAAAATGTTCCATATACATATTTGTGCCTTTATCTGGCAGTAACACTGTAATGTATGGACATATTCCTGAAAACTAAAAGACAGTTCATTCATTTTAAATAGCCAACATTGATTTACAGCTGCTTTGATCCTCAGTCAGGAATTGCTGCGCATGCTTCCATGACTTCTTGCAGTGAGCTTTTGTATTTTATTGAATCATCCTCTCAGAATACTGTCGTGCACAGAGTTTGCAGTTCAACCCCAGCTCAGCACAGTGACTTGCTACGACCCAGCACTGTGAATTATAGATGAGGAACATTTGCAGATGAGTAATGCATGCCTCAGTGCACACACCCATAGCCAGACCTTCTGGACTCTTAGACTCTTCTGTGTCGACTGCCATAAATCGTTGTGCTGCCGGCCAAACAGCCAGCCAGCACGCCCTCCTGGCAGCTAAAGTCATCTGCCTCCCTTCCACCCCTCCTCTCTCTCCTCTACTTTTAATGGATCCATATATTCTCAAGTCAGGCTGTGGACACTGATCTGTGCCTGTCAATACAATTTCTTCTGTTAATTTGCTGCTTGGATGTACGTCCTTGTTTGCTTTATTAGTGTGTACAATGACTGTTGTTCTCATCGTGCTGGCATGTGTGTTTTATCTCTCTCTCGCTCTCTCTCTTCCTCCCCTTGTCCTTCTCCGCATTGTTGTGTCCTCAAATTTGTCCCTCCCTCTTACTCCTGCCATCACTTTTATTGCACTTTTCTCAAGAGTCTTCCCGATTTCTGTTTTTTCCAATTTGAAGAATCTGGAATGTACGAAAACCACACCAAAGACACCAACAACTGCAACGAAGGCCTTCTCAGTGATGAAAAGGTAAACTCCATGTTTTATGTTGTTCACCTGCTGCATTAAGAACAGCTGACACAGGACACATTGTCTCTCCTAATGTGAATGTATTTATTTGAAAGTTCATATATTTTATGGGCAAAGAAACTCAGTTTGAAGTTTTTTAAATCAGTAACATTTCTATTCCATGTGCATTTTTTCTCCAATTCTCTGTCTCCCATGTGTGTGTGTGTGTGTGTGTGTGTGTGTGTGTGTGTGTGTGTGTGTGTGTGTGTGTGTTGCAGAGAAAGCTTTTCCATGCTATTAAAAGAATCAAGCACGAGGTAGATGAATGCAGAGAAGCAGAGATAGAGACGCACATAGAGTCAGTGCAAGTAGAGGTACTGTTGCTGCATTATTAATCCTTGTATTTTTCAAAAATACACCCTTTTCCTAGTGATTCTAGTTCAACACAAACTAAATGCATATTAATTCATAACAATTCCACTGTGGCCAGTTTTGAAATTGATTATCCATTTGGTCGCACTGAATTTGAGGTCAAACGTAGGCTGAATTGGTAATCATTAGTCTTTTCTCTCCGTCTTTCAGAACAGTTTTGACGCCCTGGAGCGAGAAATCAGAGCCGAGTTTCAGAACCTCCATCGTTTCCTGGATGAGGAGGAGTGTAAGGACCTGGAGCGACTGAGCAGGGAGAGACAGAAACAACTGAAGCAGCTGAAGGAAAGAAACAAGAAAATAACAGAGCAAGGGAGAGACCTGGATAGAGCAATCACGGTGCTAAACAGCAAACTGGCTGAGGAGAACAGTCCTACACTGCTCAGAGTGAGGAAGCACTTTTACTAAAACATATAAATTAATGAACACAAAGAGATTACATCTGACTATCACTTAAGGTTTGCTTACACTGTAACTATACAAAGTGGTGATGGGGGTGATTTAAATTTGGATCTAGAGTGAGCTCATGTGTGAACGGGGACAGAAGGTGGAGGTGGAGAATAGTTTGGACTCCATAAAACATTCTGGAAAGGTCTTGCACAACAGCAGAGCCACATGTGGGTTATCCAGGGTCATTGTAAGCATTCCCCTTGGCCTGGGACAAGACTTTACTTACCTTACTCGTGACTTGTCAAAATAACTGTCTATAATTGCCCCTCATGTTTGGTCTCCTTTGAGCTTAGCGCTGCTGGGAAACAATGTGACTGTGCAGGTTTACATCAAAGGGACCCAATCCCAGAGCTGCAGTGCAGCCCTGTTAGCTGTTCTGCCCCTCTTCGTCGGCACTCATTTGATCAATTAAAGACATTGATTGGCTAAACTGTTGACTTTTCTAGTTTTTAAAGTCAAAATCAATTTCTCATTTAAAAGTGAAAGGACAAATGGAAGTCGGCACATTAGTCAGCAAATAGGAAAGGGCAGCATAGGGCAGCCGCTCGCTTTTGGAGTCCAAACTGTTGTTGATTTAAATTGATTTAAATTGCTGTACAATGTGCTTTGCTAAAATGTTTCTCTCATTGCAGGAAATCCAAGATCTTATAAAAAGGCAGGTTTTATTTACCTAAGTGTTTTTTTCTCCACTGTTTTCCCCACATCTCATTATGCACGCTTAACATTTTTGTTCACCAATCCGTCTCCATAATCCTCACCGTGGTGCGTCTACCAGGTTATATTCTACCATTCATCATTCAGTCCTCCCCGCTTCCCATCTTGTCCAAGCAGGTCTCATGTCAGCTTTGTTCCACCAGCAGAGGTGAACACTGAGGTGCGCTCCGGCCAGTTTGTGGGGCCCTTACAGTACAGGATATGGAAGCACATGAAAAGCTGCCTTTACCCAAGTATGTTCTCACGTCATTTTATACAGCACATGCAACACAACAACCAAACTCACCTTACTTACTCTCTATTTGCCTACAGATATTACATCAATGACTATTGACCCTGAGACTGCCCACCCTAATCTGTCCCTGTCCCAGTCCTGCACTTCAGTGTGGTTTGAGGAAGACAAGGACACAAAGCATTGCCAGAAAAACCCACAACGGTTCCACTTTTATTACTGTGTGCTGGGCCATCAGAGCTTCACGACAGGCCGACACTACTGGGAGGTAGAGGTGGGATGTAAGACAGCATGGAGGTTGGGCGTTGCACGACAAGATGTCCCAAGAGGGGAGATGGATGCTACCGGCACCTCCAGTGGCCTCTGGACTCTGGCCCTGATGGGCGGATCTGTCCAAGCTTACACCGACCCAAAGCCCACCAAGGTCAACGTATCGGTCCGACTTGTCCGCGTCGGTGTGTTCTTAGACTGTGAAAAGGAGGAGGTGTCTTTCTATAACGCTGTTACCATGGCGCCAATCTACACCTTTACTATGGGATCGGTTGAGGTTCCTCTGCTCCCTTTTTATAATCCATGTGACGCAGATGAAGGCAAGAACACGGGAGCAATTAACATCTTTAACCCTTCACTATGACGAGGGGCTGCAGGGATTTCCAACACTAATTATTAATTTTATATTAATAGAATTATTCTTACATTTAGAGCTGAAGTGATTAGAAAACAATAATTGGTAAGTATTTAAAATATCAATTAATGGTTAGTAGGAAACATTTTCAAGCAAAAATATTGGCTTTCTTCTGATTTATGTGAATTGTTTGGGTTTGGAAATGTCATAATGTCATGATGGACAAAACAAGCCATTTGAAGATATCACCTTCTGACATTTTTTAATTGAGTAAATAATTGACAGATTTAATGATGAATAAAATAGTTGTTAGTTGCAGCCCTAAATATATGATGCACTTGCTGAAACTTTCCGAAAACCCGTTGCAAACAGAGAAAGTCTACATTAAATAATTTTAAAGAAAATACATAAAACATGGCTGTTGCGATAACCACAAATATTTGTATCTGTTTTGAATGCAAATGTTCTTTCACTGTGATTACTTTAGAGTTTGTGGAGAATAAATGTGATGGGAAAATGTGATGCTTCAATCTTGAGCAGATGCATTTGTAAAAAGAGTTAAAACAAATCCCAGGTTGTAATCTGCGGCTGGCCTGGAGCTTCAGGGTCCATAGCAGGCGTTGACAGCATTATGATGTTACCTTTGGCCTGTTTATAAATATCTCTGTCGTGCTTGCTTCGCTATGATGTGTCCATGCCAATGTTATGGAAGCTGTTAATAGTGTGATGCGGAGGCCTGAGGGGTGAGAATGTGGCGCGTCACATAAATGATGGCTGTCATCGAGTGAGACGACTGACTGAGAAAAGAATAGACAGCTCCGAGACAGAACCGTCCTTCTGCCAGTTTGTTGTTTGGAGAATAGGAAATCAAAGACAACAGGACGGATGTCATAATCACTTGTTTATTCTTAGTATTCCTTTAGACATGAAATAAAGAAAAAAATCTATTTTCTTTAAAAAACATCTGTGTGAAGTGTTGTGCAAAAAGGGAGTACAGAGAGAACATGTGGGATGTCACACCACACCCAGGCCGGAACAGCAGAAGTAAACAGAGAAGATCGGGGCAGAGACAACTCACGTAGTGCAAGAAGTGCCAGTGGTATTAAAAGTAGTGGTGAATTTATTAGTGGGTTATCAGAGGTGGGTACGACACCAGAATCCCCCTGGAACCAGTTCGATGTAATAACTCCAATCCCACTAGACTGAGCCTTCTTAAAGATGCTGGTAATGTGTAAACCAAAGGCTTGTCCTGCCCACCACACACTGTCTGCCTCTCTCACATCCCTACTCACTCTGGAGTGGTATTGGAACCACTGACAATATACAGCAGAGGTGGTGCATGGAAATGTCTCCCATCAATTGCTTACCACAACATAACCCTGAGGGTTACCCACACAAAGCTTTATCATTCATTTGCTGCTGTCATGAATTCACTCGTGTACTCCTAACTGTGCCACAGACTTGATAAATGTAATGGAAAACACCCTCACTTACAAATAGAGCACACTCAGCACTCCTAATGCTACCCAGAGTCATCTGGAAAACCTCAAAGTCAGACACAACTTTCAATACAATCTGTCACATATCTCCTACACATTAGCACATCATAGGGCCAGTCAGTGGTACCACTTTGTTCAGTCAGGTGTGCAAACAGCTTTCTTGAATACCCTTCCTATTAAGAAAAAGGTGCCATTAGGAGTGTCTGCAAATGACAGAATACAGGCCAACTATCCAGTATACATTTTAGGCACTAAACAAAGACAAGAATCACTCAAATATCTCAAAGTTACAATATATTTTACAATATGTTGTGGCTTTAAACATTCACACTCATGACTTAAACACAGCACTTGTTTTCTTCACGTTGAAAGACGAAGTAAGCAGGCACATGAATACCTCACAACAGACGGGTGAGCACACGTAACCTACAGTTGTGTCATTCTGTACAAACTGCCTATGCATAGATTCAACACGCACAAACACTCGGTCGTAAATCATCACACTCATACGTGCGTCATAGGCACAAACCAAACACACAATGATGGCAACATTAAAACATTACTCTGGTCACACACACAGACACAACTTTTGGACAATAAAAGCCTGTTTTCATGTTGTGGGCATGCTGCAGTCAGTGCTTTAAGTGGCATAGGTTAAACATTTTAATATAATCTGTAAATACTGTGAGAGATGCTGTATGCTGTGAGTATTGTCAGGTTGGAATGGCAATAAATGCAGATAATTGATCTCAAAAGATCGAATAAAGTCTTGATGGATTTTTACAATATTTGGTTCTTAAATTAGTTTAAGACGTTAGTGAATATTAGTGGATATAGTACTGTATGTGTATATATTTTATATTCTGGATTTAAGGTTGGTGAGAAATTTAGATTAGTTTTCTTCTTTATTATCAAGTATAATACAATAACCATTCTATACACTAGAAACATTCAGCTTTAAGGGGGTTAAACCGGCGTACACATGCAATATTTACAAGGCTGGAATGTGTGTGTCTGTGTGTGTATTTGTGTGTATGAAGAAAATTGCCTCAATTGGTTTGTAGTTTTTCAGAGATCCAAGCTAGTAATGAGGCATATCCAGTTTTTTTTATATTGTGTAATACATCTGACCATCTGATACCGTTTGTCCACTCAACACCGAAGCCCCTCAATTTGATCTTTTTTTTTGGTTTGTTTAAGTTTATATATTATATTAATTTATCTTAGTATCAAATCTGACATCTAAACACATCTGCATATCATATAGATTTTTTAAATGCTGATGCTGTTTTGTAAGAAAACTCTATTTTAAGACAGCAGAGCAACTAAGAAAGGCCAGTTGGTTGCAGATGGATCTACCTCTCACAATATTCAATCATTTGATTGAGTATTCTCAGCTGTCATTTTCTGCTTCTCTTAAAAATGCGTTTTGTAGATTTCAGTGCACCGAACCTGAACTGTCATTGTTTTCCCAGTGGTCAGTTAAAACATGAGGTAGAGACGTGCATTTTGTAACACTAAAATGTATCTGCACACCTCTGTTCCATACAAGAGTTCAACTAAGACTGATTTGTGTTGATCCACATTGATGATGTCGTGGCATTGATAAAGACCTCACTGCAGTATTTTAGAGCCATTTAAGATGCAAGGCATTAATGTTTAAGCTTTTGACAAATTTCAGAGGGCCAAAGACACAGCTGTCAACTCAACCGTAAACTTCAGAGGAAATATCTACTTTGAACACAGAACCATGATCCTAATATCTGTCGAAGCCCGTGTACTTAACAAGTTGAGAATGATGCCCAGCAAAGGAAAGGAGAGGAAGGGGGTAGGAGAGAGAGAAGGCGGGAGGATCATTGAAGGAAGGACGGACAAAGGAACAAGGGAATAAGAAGGAAGAACGGAGGGATAATGAAAGGATGTAAGCAGTTGCTGCTGGCATCAGCTTGCTATTAAACTGAAGAAATATTGTGTTTTTTATAGAGCCACGGGGAAATCCAGATCAAAGGCAGTAAAGTGGTTGATCCAGACTTGAGGGATCAGCCTGCAAAACACATTTAATCATCTGAGATATCCACTGGGAGTCTGAATCTAAATCTCAGAGCCTATAAATAGTAGGGTCAGTATTATTAGTATGTGTTCTTGTGTGGGTAAAGTCACACAAAACAAATCTTTTTTTCTATATGTGATAGCGTATTGCAGATGTTACCGAAGCCGGAGGACCGGCACAAGCGTATAACATCCATACTTCAGCTATGTACAGTGTGTAATCAAGAGGGCTTTCATTTCCATTTTGATGATGTCCAATCAAAAGTGTCATCACAAATTGTTTTGAGATGACGTTGGCTAAAAGATTGCATGCATTGTGTCTGTTCTATTCACATGCTGATAGAGGAACAAGCATTTTAGATGGTAGTTCGGGTCAAATAAGGAATCTGAGTATATTCCTGTTTTAAAGAAATGTTGTAAACCTTTCTGGCTCCCTCATTATGTTATAAAAGACCTAATGTGGAGGGTTTTTTTGTAAACATTTTGCAAAGGAATTCATTTGCAAAATCAACAAGCCGCATTTGTTACGTGAAGTTTTTTGAATCTTAGAGTCTCAAAGGTTATGTGTTAGTTGGTGAGTGCGATACTGTTATCAAAGTATTACTGTGTTCAGGCATTAGACATGTTAAATCAAAGTCTTTGCCACAGTTTCAGTGGTTTTCTTCATTATTTGGGGGGGGGGGGGGGGGGGTGTTCGATTGTCTACAGTGGCGGTAGACGGAGAAGATCTCTGGGGCTTTCCTCGGGTTTTTTGCAGGGGCAGTTCTCAAGTGGTGGTGGTTGAATCCTCAGCCACGGTGTCGTCTTTGCTAGCCTCCAGCACGGCACCACTAGATTTTTGCTCCGCTTCAGGGGTTTTAGGGGGAGCTGCTTTTGGAGCTCCGATAGTATCAGCGTGATCTGGGCTTGGTTTGGAATCCGGGCCCGGCTCAGGTGTACCGTTGGTAATAGGCTCCGGTGTGGTTGGTTTGGGGGACTCGGCTTTGGGCATCAGAGCACTCTTACTTTCCGGTGTGGGAGTGGTGGCTTTAGGAGTAGCTGGTTTAGGCTCTGGGCTTGGGCTGGGTGCAGGCTTTGGATCAGCTGGACTCAGACCAGCCTTGGGCTCAGGGCTCGAGGCTGGGCTGAGTTTAACATCTGCTGGTTTGGGCACGTCCAACTGTGCTTCCACTGGCTGATCAGGGGTTTTCTTGGTCTCGGGTGCAGGGCAGGCTTTAGTTTTAGCTACTGGACTGGACTTAATTTCCGTAGCTGGAGGAGTGCTTGGCTTGAACTCAGCAGCGGCAGGCGGCGGACTTTGTTTGGTTTCAGAGGCAACAGAGATGCTTACGGCCACAGAGTCAAGGTTTTGATCAGCGGCATCAGTGTCAGTGTCTAGTGGGAGGGCGGTGTTAAAGCCAACACCAGAGTCACTGGTGTCTAGGTTACCGACCCCAACCTCTTTCGAGGAAACCTCCAGACCCTGAGTCAAACAGACAACAAGGTATGGCGTGTTTATTTGTATAGCGCCAACAAGAAGACAATTCAAAGTGCTTTCCAGAAGACATAAAAACATGTTGAGACAAAGTAAATCAGACACACAAGGTAATAGAAAGGGAGCATATATACAGTATATAGGATTTCAAAAGAGTAAACAAAACTGAAGGTAATAATAACCTAAAATTGAATTAAACAGGAGAATAAAGGTTACAGCTCAGCGACGGTGCAGTGCAAGAATGAACAGTTCCAAATCAAATTAAATAAGAGGCAGTGGCAAACAGAAACGTTTGAGGTCTTATTTAAAAGAAGTGAGATTTGGAGCAAAACTCAGGTCTTCTGGGAGTTTGTTCCGGATATGTGGTGAACAAAAACTGTTCCACCGTTATAGTTTTGACTCAGGGGACAGTAAGCAGGCCAGTCCCAGAAGACCTGAGCGGTCTGGAGGGATCATCACATAGCAGCAGATCAAAAATATAGGTTTGGACCTAAACCATTCAGTGCTTTATAAACCAAGAGTAATATTATAAAATCAATTCTTTGTTACACAGGAGGCCACTGCAAAGATCTGAGACCTGGACTGATGCGATCCACTTTCTTGATCTTAGTGAGGACTCTAGCAGCAGCGTTCTGAATAAGCTGCAGCTGTCTGAACGCAGAAAACAGTATAAAATGGAGACATTATTAAAACTTCTCAAAGACTCAGTTTTAAGAAAGAAATATGACGTATCCTTACTTTAATATCCACCTCAGTGCTCTGAGATTTCTCTGTATTGTCTGCCTGGGAGTGCTTGGATTCATCACTGAGCTTGGTGATGTTCTTGACCACCTTTGAAGATGCACACAGACAAACATGAATCATTCATAATATCAGGATACACATCATCATGATCTTCACATTTTCATTTGCATATTTGTTCCTCCAACCTGTCTAAAGGCGTCTCCTTCATCCTCTTTGCCAGAATTCTGGGCAATCTTCTTCAGAGCAGCGGCCCTCTTGGCCCTCTTCTTCACTTTGATCAGGCAGGACAGCAGACAAACCAGCAGGAGGAAGACCAGCAGACCCAACATGGCAATAATGGCCACATACAGTGACTCCAGCTTGTAGGCTGCATGGAGGAATGGCGGGAAAGGGAATAAATGCATGAATATAGTAGACGAGGAAAGATAGCGAAGAGTAGGAGAATTAAGTGAATCAGAGAAGTTATTTTATATGGCGTTCTCCAAAAAGAGAAAAGTTGTCAGCGAGACCAGAGAGACCAGTCTTCAACCAAGAATGATTAGACTCTTATAGGTTCATTCTTCCCACAGGCAGTTTAAAACCAGTGCGTTTCAAATGTTCAGAGACCGTGACGATAATTGAAAGCGGTAATGTGAAGCGCCACTACGAGACAAAGCACACGTCTTTTGTGTAAACGTACCCACTCACATCTGAAATGAAGTCACAGATAATAAACAATCTAAGAGCCCAATATGATCAGAATCCTAACATGTTAATTCACTTCCCAACAGTGATGTTACAGAGAGGAATAGAGCTGAAACGAGTGGTTTCAATAACCACAGATAAAGTCCCTGCACACAAATTTCTCTTATTGGAAGATAAGACAAATATAATATCGTGGTTTTCTTGGCTGACATCACTTCACACCTGAATGAACTGAATCAATTCAATTGAACGTTCTTGATTTGATTTGACAGTCAGTTGTTGACTACATACAGATGTTAATACAACTGTTGGCTAACTCAATATATATGGCACTAAATCAGAGCGTAAGTTAGACATTATTGTGATGTTCCGGACCTTTACGTGAGGAAGTTCTCTCTAAATGGACCTCGTTGAACTTTAATTGAATACTTTGAATATATTGATATAAACCATCCCCATCCTTACGTTGTAGTACCAGGTGGATGCTGGACACAGTGAACCCCAGTATGTCAGTAATTTTGAACTCGCCCACATCTGCACCCTTGACCGATTCCAGATAAACCCATGAATCCTCCAAAATGAGACGGTCCTCAAGACCCAGCTCGGTTAGCGCCTAGAAAAGACAAGACAACATACACTCAACTTTAAAAAACGAACAGCAAAGATACATATAACATTAATGAATGATGCAATAGAGGAAATTACGTAAACAGCAACTACATTCAACTTTGAAGTTAACTTAAAGGCACACACTGGGAAAAGTCATACTGGATTTGTCAGACATCAAATAGGTCTGGCCTTTGGCACTAGCACTTTCAGTCTTAGTGGTCATTGTGTTACACGAGGTGGCCCACAGCTATACAACACTGCAGGAAACCCTGGTATAACTCTTGTTGCTAAATATGAAACCGATTAGGAACTGGCTATGTTATATGCTCACATGCAAAAGCATGAAATTGTATATTTTATCATATACGTATATATATACAGTGCATGATTCTTAACCACAACAGTGGTGGGGCTAAAAATAAATCAGTTACACTCGTAAATTCCCCCTTGTCCAGCAGCAGACGGGGTGTGGGGTCTTTCTCCGGGCTGTAGTAGAGATGGACCAAGGAGTTGTTGAGTATCAGGTTGATCTTCAGTGTTTTACCGTATGGCAAGGTCACGAAGTTGTGGTGCTCTGCGACACAGACAGACAGAGAAGGGAGGACGTACTGTACAATAAATACATCACAGCACTGTTTACAGGCCCATGGATCATCTAAAATGCATTAGCCTACTAGTGCCCATTAACGTGTGTGTCTTTAAAAAGCCATTATGCCGACAAAGAGCGGCGTACTAATTAGAAAGGAAACAACAACAACATCATCCCGATGGAAGGTGCTGGCCGTTTAAAACAGGTCAAGCATGGAAAAAGATATGCGTCTTCATTTGTGCGCTCACCTTTGACGTTGAGACACTCTTTCCTTTGGATATCACCTTCAGCATCCCTGACAGTGTAGCTACCTTCGTCTGCACCCGTGACAGTCCTGAGGGTGACGTAGCGCTCATTGACGCTGATTCGACCCTGGTACCCGTCCCTGGACATCCCTGCACTGGTCAGCAGCACCAGAGCAGGTCTGCAGCAGGAGAAAGTCATAGAAGATGAACTCCCCTTAAACTTTGTCGGTAAGGCTGAGACACGCTGTCGCAGTGCATGCACATCATGTTTGGAAAAGGCCATCACAGATTCTGTTGGGTTAAAATGTCAGTGTCATTTTGCTGACTCTACCTAGATGTCTGGTTGGCCTCCACAGCACTGGGCCTGTACTCCAGGGTGATGGGAGGAGTCACCCCTAACAGCGGAACATGGTAGTTGTCTCCATATTTAATGATCTGCTCGTTGGAGCAATCTAGAAGGTAAAAGCAGAGTGGTTAACAGTTTGTTCTTGAGTAAATGGAAGCAACACGGTTATTTAAAGAGGAAAAGAAATCGCATTCAAGGTGAAAAGGGGTGAAGGAAGAGAGAGTTTATTTGCTTCAAGTGAAGGAAAAAGTTAAGTTGAAGAGCGAGAAAGGACATATAGGAGTGAAGAAGAGGGAGGAAGAGGGAATGGCTGAACAGATGTGGCAAAAACGGGGACAGAGTGTAGATAAAAGAGCAGTGATCCAAAAATATCAGGGCAGCTGAAATTAAAGGGTAGGAATCCAAACCAAATAGTGGGAAAGTCAGCAAAGACAAGATAAAGACAGGAAAACAGCGGGGAGGGAAGGAGAGAGGAGTGGGTTGGTGGTTAAAGAGCTGCATAATTACTGCCTGGCAGCTCCGGCATGCTCTAACACTCTGAGGACACACACACACACACACACACACACACACACACACACACACACACACACACACACACACACACTTCATCAACTCACAACACATTACTCCCGCCATATGGCACATCTTTCACATATTGCTACGCTACAGTCGCTTTTATCCACGCTGGGTTTGAGCCCACTCCCTCCTTCTCTCATGTGTGTATGTGTTCAATCTCATCAGAGTCAACGCCGCTGCTGCAACTTGTAATGCTCTGAGGACAAACAGGATGTGTAACTGAGAGGTTTATTTGGCTGCTGACTGCATGATTAAAGCAGGAGAGAAGACAGTGCCTACACTACCACGACTCTGACTCCAGATTAGATATTAGAGGCTTATTCTTCATCCTGGTGTTGAGGTTGTCATCCAGTAGTGAAGTATTTTAGATACTCTACTTGAATAAAAGTAACTATACTCCAATGTCAACACACTCCAATATGAGTAAAAGTCCAGCATTGAGGGAGCATTGAAGTATTTTCAGTAAAATGTACTTTAAGAGTCAAAAGTATACAATGCAGAAAACAGCCCCTCTGATAGTATTAAACATCATATTCATTTATCAATAAATGTGTGCATTAATGTGTAAGTAGCATAATACTGTAGGTAGTTTCATCAAATTGCGTCATACTTCATAAGATCGTCACGTGTTTTGTAAGTAAAAACTACAAAATAACAATTAATTTAGCTGTTAAATAAATGTAGTGTACTTGAGTACACGTATTAAGTTACATTCCACCACTGAAGCCACACATTTATTAGACACGCTGCCATTTGAAACTAGAGCTGAAACAATAGACGATTAATGTATTAGTTAATTAGTCTATTGATAATTAAATATTCTTTCAAGTCATTTTTCTAAAAAAAATGCCAAAATTCACAGGTTGCATTTTCTTACAGGTACTTCTTTGCTGTGTTCTTTAGTCCTTTATGATAGGGAGCTTAATACTTTTTGGTTTTGGACCAGACAAACCAATAATTGATGTCACGAAGTAAACTCTCTACAAATTTGTTATGGACATTTCTCCCTGTTTTGTGACGTCTTATTGACAACACTTAATTGATTTGATAAATGAAGATGAACTGTAGAGTAATCGATAATGGAAATAATCGTCAGCCCTATTTGAAACTCATCGATGACTGTCATGGTTGAAGACGTTTTAGATTGTACTTGATGGGATGATTTATAAAATGAAAAAGAATTCCCAAATTAAACATTACTTATTTTTTTGCTTTGCAAAGTTTCCAGCAAAGCAAAAACTCTACTAAAATGCTTTTTTTAGATTCAAAAGATATGTTGCTGGTCTGTATTGTATTGACAGTGCATGTATATTTGTATTAATGGATATAAACACTCATTCTTGATGACATCATCTATTTAGTTTCAAAGATGAGGTCATCCAAAAGGATCTGGTACTAAAATGAATTTGAATTTTATGAATTTGAGTCTTCCATCAGATTTTAAATTAGAGCTTTGAATTGAAATTCCAGGTCTGCCTGTGAGAGTGAAACATGTCAGTTGAGGCTATGCTTCGTTACCATTCCTCATGTAATGTACGCTCATTTTATCCCGTACCTCGGACTATAAGCGTCAGCCGTCTGATGTCCTCTGGCTTCTCTAGATTCTTCACGGTGTACACGCCCTCGTCTCCCTCGCCCACAGCGTCTATAATGAGGTGGCTGAGGTGGCGGTTGAGTTTGGCCCGACTGTGGACCACGCTGCCGCCCCGCATCAGGAACACATCGCCCGACCGCGGAACAGACCTGTTCCGAAACGTGACCTCCAAAGCGAGTGAGGGCAGCATGATGTGGAAATCCTCCCCGTGGAACAAGGTCATGGAGTCCTCATCAACTGGAAATTATGATGGACAAGGAACGATGGAGGAGGTGACAAACACATGAGAGGGCAAGGAAAGTTCGTGAATTTATAATTGATGAATGACACACTTAGAAATGTACGCACTGGTACACTAAGTCCTACCTTTCACAGGCGCAGAAAGAGCTGTAAAATACAAATCAAAGCAGATATTATGACTTTTTTTATCATCAGTTAAATTAAATACAGTGTCTGAGTCCTTTTATTCTCTATTAAAATACAGCAGTAGCCTACTTTTGTTTTCTACACATTTTCTCACATGCTCTTCTGGATTACTTCACTGCTGTCTATTATCCAGAACATTCAAACTGAAATTAAACTATTTAATAAAACAGTGCATCCTGAGCAATTCATACAGTGTATTATGATCAGACATTAGTGGAAAAACACACTATTTCCAGATTTCCAGATCACTACTAGAGGGAACATCATCACACGTTTCTTAACATACCTGTGGTGAGCAGAAAGCTGAATGCGATCACACTGACTGTCGCCATCTTGACTGATTGTTTTGTGCCTAGAAGGGAAAAGGAAGATGTGTGTGTGTGTGTGTGTTAAAAGAGAGTTGCTTATTCACAGTGACACTGGTGTCTGACATCATTCCTGGATCTATGATTAAGCATTCACTGAGGCACAAACAGTGAACTTCACACTCGTGTAGAAAATTGAAAGTGTGCTTCTTGGTTTAATTTTTTTGCTTTGCATTCTTCGGACTTGCTTTTAACTGGAATGGGCATTTTGTCTTTGTACTAGATTTGTAATATTGTTCATTTAAATATTGGCTGAAAATACAATCACAACCTTCTGGTTCAAATCATACATGCAGGTCACACTCAAAATGTACTCAATTGTTCTTTGAATCTAGGATGATCATATGATGGTATCGGACTGACATAGAAGCACAAACACTCACACACACCATCCCAACAGCTGTAATAGGTTTACTGTCAAGAGAAAAACTGTAAAATCAGTGATAGAAAAGCGACTGCAGCCAATAAAGAACACATTGACACATTATTCTGAAGTGCTTCCTCATTCAGAGGTGTCACTGGCAGTATTCTGTATAAAATATTCCTCACAGTATAAATCTCTTTGCTGCAGTGACTCACAAACCTCTTCTGCAGCATAGACTATACTGTTGCTTAAAACGTTCTTCAGGAGACATCCAGAACAGAAAGGAGGAACGTTCCAAAACATCATTTCCACAAGCAGGTTTTTTTTTGCAGAATCCTGATTAATTGCAGCCCTGAGTGGGATATTGATGATGTGAATGGTTCTCTTCTGCACTCAGACATCACAGGGAACACATCAAGGGGTTGGAGCAAAATAAACTTTCCTGCGGTTCTCATTTACAAAGCCCAGGAGGGGAGCAGGAGGAAACACCTGCAGTGCTCACAGTCAAACAGTGCAGCGGCCGAACAGCATGCAGCCGAGGTTATCTATATGCCACAGAATTGTCCTTACTATGTGAAAATATATAGCCTCATAATTAAATGAATATGCTTTATTTATTTCATACATTGCCTTTTCTTTTGTCGTTTCCTGTATATGTTCCTTCAAGTGATTGGATTAAGAAATCCATTAGGCTATCGAATAACACTAAAAATCCAAAAGAAAACCTCCCTGGAGAGAATCTTGCCGTCCCTGTAAATTAAATTTATCTGCCATTGCCTGGAGGTTATTTTTGGACTTCAGACGATAAACAAAAAACAGCCCGTGGTGAGACTTTTGTTGAGAAAACCAATGACAGTGTCATGATAACGTAATAGCATACTTGAACTCAATTTAAAACCGGGGTCATGAGTAGTTTTATGAGTCAAAGTTAATGTCTTTGAAAGGCGTTAACAAATGGCATTTATGTCTTAAAGAGGCCCTTCCCTTTAAGTGTACGTGCATGTTTATCGGGGCCAACTGGCTGTGGATCACTGGCACGGATTGTCTATTGATTATGTGCCTGATTTTAAACACAGAATAATGAATGAATCTTGAGATTATTAAAATCATTGGGGGTTTGAGTGACGACTCGGCTGAGTTCCCAACAGGAAATGTCCAGAACGAGAAGCGCTGCAGCGAGAACACATTTCCTACACCTCATTATGACGGTTATGGAGAAGAAACGTGATTAATTGCAACACTGAGGGGGGTTATGGTGATGGGAACTGCCTTCTGCTACACTGAGGCGTCTGAGGCAACACATCAAGAGAGTTTGTGCAAAAGAGATTTTGCTGCGGTTTTCATTTACATAGCCCAGGAGGGGACTTGGAGGGAACACCTGCAGTGCTCACAGTCTCGCTTTGCAGCAGCTAATAAACACGCAGTAACGTTTAAAGTGTCTCATTTAACACAGGAGACATCATGAGACATCCCATTCCTGCTGGATATGACGAAGCATTTCGCCGTCTTCACACTGTGTATAAGTCAATGTTTGCACTTTCTGTGTGTCTGTCTTTGTGCATGCTTAATCTGAACATATTTCAAAAGAGCAGCAGCAGAGAGGACATTTCCTCTCATTGTTTAGTGGAAATAATTCAACATTTCACTGCGTTCTAATCTGACAAACAAAGTTGCTGATTCACAGAAGGCCTCATACAGCCCTCTTGCACTACGTCTGCTACATCTGCACACCACACTTCGCACAAGGCCCAAGAGCCCACTGATTTTATTGTATTTGAAACAAAATATGGAACAAAGCTGCGTCACACAGAACAAACAAACCTTTTGGTGTCCTCTGCAACAGTCAACTGTGTAACTCAAATTACACTGTAATTGTATTACTTCAGTCCCCATCATTGTTTCGGGAACTGTTTTGCTTTCTTTTCTGGGTTTGAACACTCATGTGAGGCCACTGTATCAGGGACTGAACATTACTTCCAGCTATATAACTGACTGTTCACCCCTGTAGCCGTCCGCATTTAATTAATGCAGCAATCTGAGATGTAGGTTGGCTCTGAAGAAGGATAGAAGTGAACCGTGTCCATCTGTTTGTCACAGCAGTAGGCACCGCAGCCAATCTGGTGTTTCTACACAAGATCTGTGACTCAAAAAAGCTAAAAGCCTCTCCTTCATTTCTGTGTGATTTGGGGCATTTGAGGCCAGAGCTAAGACTACGAGGGCCGCCTCACTGAGCACAAACATGCAAGCACATGACAACACATGCAATAAGCTATATTATAACTGGCTTATTCACACACTGCCCTCTGGGCTGTAAACCATGGTCACAGACGAGTATGCCATCTGCTATCTTTCCATGACTTTCCCTCCCTTCATTTAGCTTCACTCAGTGTTCATTTTACCATACTTGACTCTCAACTTTCGTCCTTTCTTTCTTCCATTTTCTCACTTCAGTCACCATTCTCACATCTCAAAGTGTTACTTTCTGCCACCATTACGACCTTGTCCAAGCCTCCCTTAACTTTCTATGCCTCTGTTTGACAGCTCCGTACCATCTCTCCCTTTCTTTCCACATTTTGTCTTCTCAGTATGGATCCTCACAACCCGAACGCTACGCTGTCGATCTCGGGGCATCTCTCTAATTTCCTCTTTTTCTCTCTGGATCTCTCTCTCTATGTTATCATGTCTCTTTCATCCTCTCCTCCTCCTTATATTATATAATCCAAGCCAGTGCATCCCACTCTGAAATCAAAGCCTGTGCCTGTGTCCAAACTCCCTACTTACTGGAAGGACAGACAGGTCTTTGTACGTCTTTAAAGAGGCGGAAATGCCTTCAATGACTGCAGATGTGGGGACCCTACAAAGCCTCCTCTGTGTCTTTACCCTTCATCATCTCTCTTTCCTTTTTCTTTGCACAAGTGATGAGGAGAAACAGCTCTACGTGACGATGAGGAGGCATGCTAGAAGTGAGCTCAAACACACATTTACAGGCACACAGATGCACCTACTGCACCCTCCTCTAACAGCAGTAGACATTTATAAATTATGAGACATCAAAAAGGGGGGGGGGGGGTGCTGCACCAAGAGACACATGTGGAAAATGGCAGGAAGTTTACTTCAAGTGCACCACTTTCAAACACATATGGAGTTTCCCTTTGCTGACATGAGATGCATTCACAATTCTAAAACTTTTCCCACTCTGATTATCCCAAATGTCCAAACTCTGCATCACTACAACACACGTCACATTTCAGATCAGCACAGCAGAAAGAAATGATGCAGGGAGAAATCTCGTAGACAAAATCAAAACATGTCATTTCTAAAGTTTATCTTGGAGAGAGAGCCTGTAGCGGCTGCATGGCCACTTATTTTCCTCCGAAGCCGGCTGCAGTGAACTAAAGGCAAAGACAGCTTTCTACCATATTGCTTGCACCTGTCAGAGTCATTAAACTCAGTGGACATGAGGGAGGAGCGGGGAGAGGGGTGGTGGAGCTGTGTACAGCATTGAGAAATACACAAGGACAAGAGCACGGAAGATGTTGAATGTGTTAAAAGATGGGATTATCATAGAGCCATTGCTCTCGTGTGGTTCGGCCTCCATGCGGCCCTGGTCACAGTCTATGAGCAGCGCACTGCAGGCAGAGGCATCACAGCCTTCAAGCTGGAGCCTCCTCTCAGATAATGGATGCTGTTCAGCTTTGTAAGTGTTGAATGTGCAGAACATATCGACTACTGACCATAAAACGTCCTTAAATGAAGAGAAGGCAGCCTTAGGAGAAGAAGATAAGACTATAAAAATAGAATAATTAGGCTAATTTTCCTGTGATAATAATAATGGTAGTCATGATAATAAAAGTTAAATTTTTTTCTTCTATGTTTAAGGTCGACTAATGACTGGCATATACTTAACCTGTATGTTTTAATGTAAGCGGTTTGCATCAACGGTTACATGACATCATCTTGCATCCTCCTAAATAAATATGCATTATATTGAATCTCACCGGGAGGCTGAAAAATGAAATGGAATTAACCTAAAATATCCAATGATGGCGAAGCCGGATCCATCCCGGGACCGTTCAGCCAGTTTACACGGTGACGGGATGAACATATATATATAATTGACAATCATTGACAATATAATGTCTAGTTGGTGATAAACCTCACAGATTTAGGTCTGACCAGTCACCTCCGGGCCGGGATAGCCGATAAGCGCATCAACCAGAAAACCTGCAGAATTTAACCCGTCACACACCAGTCAGATTTAGGGAACACATCCGCACATGCATGTTATGGGAGGAAAACCGCCGCTCTGCAGCACACCTACCTTTAACTGGCCGGTCGGAGCAGCGGTGCAGTCGGCGGAGATGTCGGGATGATTTCAGAGGTGGGAATCTGTGTGAACGTTGCCGGTTTTCTCCTTCGTCGTCTCCCTCCCTTCCAACCTCGCCCCCCTCAAGAGCAGCACTTCACGACTCGGGCTCAACCAATAACCAACAATATGTCGGGCTCTCTCTCTCTCTCGGAGACACTCGACTAGTGTCGGTAAACATCGGCCACCCTTCGCCCCCCTGACAGACACCTATGCTCATCTGACAGTGGGGAGGGGGGTTTATTCCACGAGATGTTCCACAGGCAAAGCCTCAGAGGATGCTGATTCAGCAGAAAGCTATGCGTCAGTGAAAAAAAAATGAAGCCCAGACATAATGGCCAAAGAGGATGATGATGTGATCGGATTAGATTTGTATTTAAAATACATGGATGCCTTGCTTCCCATAACATCATTTCTTTTACCAATGTTCCAGAAACAAGAGCATTGTGGTCGATTGGCTTGAAAAAAAACAATTTCATGTAATTCAGCCAATAAGATACCAGAAATAAAATACTAAAATCTGCACATTTCAACCAAAAGTCTTCTTTTTTCACCGTTCAATCTTAAAATACAAACACTTCAGATACGTTGGAAGATTCTCATCTGTTCAGTACAGCCCACTCATCAAGATCTCTTGAAAAACAAATGGGCCTGTGATGCTCACGCTACAGACTTCAGAGGAAATCTGACATTTTTAATTAGACGGATAAAGAGATCCTGTTCTTGGTTGATGAGTCCCAGCTCTCAGGGTGCAGACTGTGAAACTAAAGGCCTGAAAGCAGCAAACTCAATTTTAAGCTTGAAAGTTCATTCTTGAGCTTGGAAATGGTCCACGTACTTCATGTTTCTGACGCTTTTAACCAAATCTTCTGAGCGACACATCAAAGCCTAAACACCACAGGTACAAGGCTGCATAATTAAATACCAGAATATGTAGATTAAGTAAATAAATACACGTATAAACATAACATAGACAAGATTTAATGTTTTCATTGGTGATAGCAGATGTCATGATTTTATAAAAACTTGGTATTGAGATATTAGCTATTTGGTATTTCTAAAATCAAACTTCGTTACAAGCTAGTGAGTCCGACTTTAAAACATCAAATGATACAGCAAGTTCAATTATAATATTTAAGGTGGATCAGGAAATAAACCAAATGTGAGTTCTGTACACTGGTCTTTTTTAACATGACATGTATACATAAACACATAGATAAATGTACGGCCTCAAGATATTGGCGTAGAACCAGCATCAGCATGCAGGTGCCTATCCATGGTGTCTCATCCCTGGACGTAATAGGATGAAGCCTTAATGGAGTAGGTGGTGGTGGTTAATGGAGTAAGAGGAAAAAGACACACTGGTATAGGTTCAGGATTACCTCGTTATAAAAAGGCACTATGCACTTATCAGGACAGGAAACAAGCTTCTTCTTTTTTTTTTTTTTCTTTCTTTTTCCATTCACTGGCCCCCGTAGCTGATGTTTTTCAAAACACCCAAACATGATTATACAACTCCCACTTCATGGCTGCCAAACCTGCCGATTGAGTCGAAGCACTTAGCACGTATAGAGAGTAGCAGCAATTCCCTGTAGCAGTGTTAATTCCTGCTCTGCTTCTTATCGTACAAAGAGAGGGGAGGATGAGAGGTGAGACATGACGAGGACGGTTGATGGGCAATTATTTCCCACCCAGCATAGCAGCAACATCGCTTTTAGCTTCTGAAACTTTAAAACCTAAAAAAATGTTCACATCTACAAGTCAAAAAAGTACAATTGTAAGAACAACAATAAGAACTTACTTCGACAGACTTGGTAAGTTTCCTAAATTATGTTTCTTTCCTCTCGGAATGCTGTGCAACATCTGACAGCTGACACTTTTAAATGACCTCCATGCTACATCCACAATATGTTACAATGCATTCTTCAAGTCTTTCATACAGACGAGCAGCTGGCTCCCTAGTGTCTCTACCGGTCTCTGATTGGAAATGGAATCTATGCGCGATGAACAAACAATGTTTTTTTTTAATACAGTGTACCGTGGTGGTGCTAAGTCTTCTTCCTGCTCCTTCCCCTGCCTGCGGCAGGCTGCAGAGTGTTTGCAGGGGCAGAGAGTCTGTGCGTCTGAAGGTCAAGTTTCTGCTGAAGGATCCCTGTGAGAATGAACTCAGCTGTGACCACCGGGTGAGATTCAGAGAGAGCCGGGCCACAGAGCGGCCAGTCCTCCTCACAGGAAATCACGACAGTCTGAGGCTGAGACGAGAGGGGAGTAATAAATGATCACAGACATGTCGGACGATAAGATATATAGACAGATCATCACACAATAATGTTCATTTACTGCATGTGAGGCCTGAGGGGGGAAAGTTTGACTGGTACCTTGTGAGAGGAGGGCATCTTAGGAAGGAAGGTCGCTCCACTGCAGCAGATGATGTCTTTCATGTGAACTGGCTCTGGTTTCACTGACTTGGTAACGTGGATCTCATAGCCCTAAGAGAAAGAGAAAAAGCAGACAAGAGATGCAGTACATGACATGTGTCTCTGCAAGAACGCCTCCACAAATCAATAGAAGGCTCTTAGGAACGGAATTTGGTATTTCGTGTGTGTTTCCCTGCCACAATTTTAGCCAGTATCAGCTTGTTATGTGGTATCAAAGTATCTCTGATACGGATCTGAACAGTGCAGGGTAGAAAGTGTAAGAGAAATAGAAACATTACTGCCTGCTTCCCTCTGTGCAGTGCCCATAAAACATAATCGGTACATTAACAGCCAATGTCAAATTACTGCCCACAAGCCAAAGTGTAATGGTGAACAATCGTCACTGCGCTAATAAAAAGACTTTCGTTGTTTCATGTTTATGTTCAACTACAAGGAGGCAGAGATAAAAGCAATGCTTGGTGGTAAAAAAAAAGGATTTCAGATGTTTTATAGGCTGAAGATGATTGTGTCACGTTCATGTCTGGATGGCACTACGACTCACTATTCCTCACTGTCATTATTATCCACCAACCGTGTGCCATCTGCCAAGGGAAATGCCACAATGACACTCTGTCAACCTCTCACTCAGAGAGAGAAAAAGCACAGAAATAGATGGCATGACTGTGTTAAGAGTACCTGTAAGAGAGGCTGACTGCTGGCAATCCTCAGAGACTCCTGCAAGGAGAAATGGAACTTATTTTCCTGCTCTGGATCCTTCACAACAAACGCATTATGAGGCAGGAAGCTCCCAGCCTTACCACTCTGAAACACAGGGAGAGGGGAGAAAGACAACAAGAGCAGTGAGTGTCTATGCGTGTGTAGTATTTGTGAATATATTTCCACATGCATTTATCAGAGAGAGAGAGAGAGAGAGAGAGAGAGAGAGAGAGAGAGAGAGAGA